GGCTCGCTGACTTGGTGACACATGTCATCGTATCCCAATTGCGTAGATCGATGCCCATGCTGTTGATCTCTGGATTGTCTTGTCCAGATTCTATTATTTACAGACCACCGCTGGAATGTTGCTGACTGCGGCGTGAAACAACAAACCAAGCAACCAATCAACCGATCTCCGAGACATGCTCGTAGGTTCCGGAAAGACGCGAGTTTTGACGAATGAGTTGAACCCGTGTACATCCTTTCTTGAAGGTCAGTGGTAACAACTGAAACTATCGCACTTGCATGATCAGAAGGACGGTACACATTACCATAAATCCCAAGGTTTTATTTCTAAAATTCTTGAACAGTGAGTGAGTTAGTTTTACGTCACACTCAGTAATATTCCAGCTATATGGCGGCGGTCTGTAAATACTCGAGTCTGGACCAGACAATCCAGTGATCAACAGCATGAGCATCGATCTACGCAATTGGGATACGATGACATGTGTCAACTAAGTCAGCGAGCCTGAACCATTCGAGTAGTGATATATATTCATCAGATAGTGAAACACACATATATACCACACATAAGTTCACGGATGAGGATATTCAAAGTAACAAAGGTTTGGGGCAATGAGAGCCAAATATCGTTAGGATAGAGACATGTATTCTTTTTCATTCAGCATTTCCCAGCAGTATTTTTCGCCGTCGAGGTTACAAGAGGAAATACGGTAATAACAGTTACGACTTTGTACAGCTGACAAAAAGGTTTTACTTGATGACTTTTCCATCAGGATGCGTGTTAAGTGGCTATTAAGGCAACTGGCAAATGTATTGATGACATTATTGCGCCCTCGGATGCATAACGCTCAAACCAACTAATAATGATTTATATCTATATATAGAACTGATGTTTTATTATTTATAATTTGTGCGTAAAGAAGTCCCAGGGACATTGACGAATAATAAAGCCGAAGTCAATGTAATCCATACCGAATGAATACACGGAAAATGCACTCAGTATGGAACACCTTCCATATTTAATAAAAGTATGACTGGTTTCTATGGTAACGGGTGACCCACAACTATCATAAATTGAAAGTACATATTTCGTATATTGTATATATTTCGAAGCAGTTTCTAACGATAGCCTTGACATGTAAATGATGGAGTTCTGCGTCCTTAATATACAACAGTGGAACCCTGTTAATCAGGAACAGGAGGTTTCCATGAAATAGTCCTGATAAACGAATGTCCGGTTTAGCGAGTAATGATTTAACTTAGGTCATACGTTAACGTTATCAGTCATAATCGTCCAGAAGGTGGGGCGTCCAGATAATGGTTTTCCGGGTAAACGAGGTTTCAGTGTATTCAACAGTTCTTGCAAATCGCTACGCTTCTTTAAAACGAAATACCAATTGAAATTTGGTTATGGTTAGACCAAAGAGTGCCAATAAATTATTGTTTTGTCGGGGAGTTTGTTTGGCGTGATTTATAGTTGAATTGATTTTATAAACCAAAAAGGTATGATGCAAAATTCTTCAGGCATTAGTGGAGTGTATCCATTCCGTCCTAGTTAAATATGCTTCACATGTCGGTGGACAACATTAGAGGTTAGGATTTATGCATTCTTTGATGATAAGATTTAATTTAATTTCGAAATCTGAAATAGTTATTAACAAAACAATATTTCAAAAATAGAGGAATGCAATTAGGCTACCGAGTTGAATGGAATGAACAAGTTTGTTAATTCCAAGTTCGGCTCATTTTGAAAAAAAACCCTTCTCATTCAGACCAAATATTTTCCCTTCAACATTAAGGCTGAAATTGTCCTTCATGTTTTGCCAACTGTTGTAGGTGAACACATTTAAGATACTGATCGAAGTACAACTGATTATCATAAAGTATATATGCGATTCTGTCATCATTGGAATATTGATATAAGGGAAGATGGTCGATGAAAAATGACATTTTAATATGCTAAATAAACATCGAACATACACTGTACTTATAAGGCATCAAATGAGACGTGACCTCATATTCAATAGATATCAATCCATCTATCGTTCAGCTCTAATAAGTATACAGGCCTGTATGGCAATCATACATATAATTAAGGCAGAAATTTTTTGAACAGTAATATTTTCTCTATAAAAAGCATAATGGATGTACAAGCACAATCGTTCTAAGTGCGGCTGGCTTGGTGTAACAAAAATACAAATATATAGATGTTATCATGTACAAGTATATATGTACAATCTTCAAAAATGCTTGCTTCGCAGAGTGGTTTTGCTGGACATACATCACTGAAAATGATATTCGTCTTCAATTATGTTTAAATTACACATTTTGCAAATACTATTCCCAATTTAATGTCTATATCAACCTGTTTCTACGAATGAATCAAGAGATGAACTGAGAAAACCCGTAAGAGTAGCTCTGTATTTTCTCATGTTTAAAGAGGACAGATGAATGTCTTTTAATTGTTATGACGTAGTGCTATATTTAGACTAGCGTTACAAGGATCTTTTCCAGAATCATATACCTCGGAGGGGTACATATGGGGAGTTAACACTTTCTATGTTGTGAGGCAAATGAATAGAGACATGCATGATTCTTGGTCATGATACTCTGACTCAGACTTTCAGAGTGAAAAAAAACTACGCGCTACCGGAGGAGATGTCAACATTTCCACTGTCATGACTTCTGGGTGAACATTTCAAGAACAATACTCATTAATATGAAAAAGAAAAAAACATAATGTATGGCCATTTTGACTTGTTCTATGGCCATTTTGATTTTTTGGTATGGCTATTTTGGTAGGATGTTCCCATTTTGGGATGGCAAAAAGTAGCGATATCCAGCCGGGGGAGATGACCAAAACAGCACAAAATAATGGTCAGAAAACTGGGTAAAAACAGGTGTAGGTGTGTGTGTGTGTGTGTGTGTGTGTGTGTGTGTGTGTGTGTGTGTGTGTGTGTGTGTGTGTGTGTGTGTGTGTGTGTGTGTGTGTGTGTGTGTGTGTGTGTGTGTGTGTGTGTGTGTGTGTGTGTGTGTGTGTGTGTGTGCGCTTTTACGCGCATTTGTAACGTTAACGTTGCCTCTGATTGCACAAAGAATACAAATGCACCAATGGAAAGAAGGATAACAAAGCTAGGGACACCTTTTTCATATTTTGACGAATGTGACGTCAACTGTTGACTTTGTCCAACGTGTTTATGTCGAAATAACAATGAAAAGGACCCCGCCGTCTATACTGGAAGTAACTTTCGCTAGAGCGACATACAAAACACCTGTCACTCGCTTAATACGTTCACATTTCCACTGTTGTTGAGTGCTGACATAACACTTAAGCCCAAACAATATACAAGATATGTATCGACTATAGGTAGTGGTTATTTGGCTCGCAAACCCGGAATTTTCACAAACAATTCTGTTATTAAAATGGATAAACACACAAATGTCTCGCTCGTGCCAGCATTGGCAACAACACAATCTGGCTGAAGCGAGGTTGTATCTCAGGATGGTTAGAGAGTATATAGCCTCGGTGCACCTAGTTACAGATGACAGATGCATCAAGCAGTAACAGTTTATCACCCAATAATGGTTTCCAGTGTAGATGTAGGTTGTAGAAGATCAAGTATCTCTAAAGAGATATCGTTTTGGTAGGTTTTGAGCTAATTGCTGATTGGTCAGTATTTTCGGACTACTTTCATCTCTTTTAGTTGTAAAGTTTAAAATGTAAACAAAGATGGCCGCCGCCAGTTGAGTTATTTTCTGTTCATGATTTGTTCTAACGTTTACTGCAAATGCTACCAAGAGATGGTGAAACGTATGCATTGCAAAATTTGAAGCAATAAGTGTTAGCACTACTTTTGTGCTTGTTTTTATGACGTAATGTTGTCACTCGTTCCGTCTTCCATCACTCTTGCTCATTTGGATGTATTCATACGCATATCTTCAAATGTTACAGGTGACGTTTAGTTTTTTGGGGGGTCATTATGGTATTCCTATTAGTTGGTGGGTCGTGGGGTAGCTTAGTGGTTAAAGCGTTCGTTCGTCACGCCGAAGACCTGGGTTCCATTCCCCATATGGGTGCAATGTGTGTAGACCATTTCTGGTGTCCCCCCGCCTTGATATTGCTGGAATATTGCTAAAAGCGACATAAAACTACTCACTCACTCCTACTAGTTGCGTTAGCCTGTGGTGATATGATTTTCGAAAATATAATCCAGAAGCTGGACGACATAACAACCAGATCAATATGGTTAGACATGAACGTTTAGTATTCATTCATAAGTAGGTGTGACAGTGATGTCGATGATGTAGCTGTAGTTGCTCAATTAATATTACAGCGCTACACAATTAAAAATGGAAATGTTTGTCAAGTTAGTCCAAATACCACCCTTAAAACTCTGAAAGACAATATTCTGGAGTATCCAATCTTTCGAAGATGCCAAAACGTTCACTATTACCTTTTATAGGTAATGCATTAGGCTTCCTGCTTGGAACAATTTCAGACAGAGATCTCAATGACATTAAAGCAATGTGAGCGAGAGGATGAGTGTAGTTCTATGCCACTTTTAGCCATATCCCAGCAATATCACGGCGGGAGACACCAGAAATATGCTTCACACATTGTACCCATGTTGGGAATCGAACCCGGGTCTGCGGCGTGACGAACGAACGCTTTAACCGTTAGGCTACTCCACCGCCCCTTACTTGAAGCTAAGGTTTAAACGTTTCCTGTGTGTTCCATAAACAAAGATGAACCATATCCAGTTGGTGTGCGGTAACATTCCCGGTGAAATTGTACGGATCAACAAACTTCTGATAACGGACATTCTATGAAATAATGTTCCGTCTCATTGTGGACGTTAACCACGGTAGACGCCCGCAATGTGAAGTGTCCGGATTGACGAGGTCATGACAAACACAGTGCAGATATATCGATAGAAATCTATAAATGGAATGACTGACACAGTTGCTAAATAGAATCTATCGGAATTAGAAATTAGGTCATACCTGGGATGCAATAGTGTTGTCCAGTTTTCTGATCGCTCTTCATCCATATCTGCCGAGACGTCACAGCCCATACATAACGTAACAGTTAATTCCTCCTCGAATAGCCGTGGACGATCTCACACTGGAGCGAGACGTGTGTTTTTGACTTGCGACCAAACAATCTAGTTCACAGAGCGCTTCAAGAACACGTGAGCGACAAGCAGGTTAGTGGGGGAGACGCGCCAGTCTGGTACTGGTACAGTACTAGTCACAAATAAGTGGCAGTCTCCGAAATTGCCTTAATTACATTGTAAGAATGCATTTCTCGGTAGTGATGGGTTTAGTGTATGCTCCAGTAAAAGTAGCGACGATGTTTGATGGGAGATATCATCAGTTGTACCATGCCCCGACTGCGGTCAATGTGATCTCAGCCGTGGTGTATTGTATTGAGATGTATCGACAGCAACTCTCTGATTGGTTCTTTGCAATTCTAGCCACGCCTACGTTTAACAAACATAACTGTCTGTCTTAAATGGATGTAAACTTTCTAAAAAGACAGCCAACATTTGCTTTACCTTTTTAATGATAATAATGACAACTTTATCGAAAACACGGTGATATCGGCAGTTTGTGAGAGAGTGATGTCAATTGTATCATCCCAGAGTTTAGCACCTTCAATTTCGTCAACTATTTGTGACAGTGTAATGTTGTCTATAGTATTATCCCACACTTCATAGACATGGGGGGAGGTGGGGTAGCCTAGTGGTTAAAGCGTTGGCTCGTCACGCCAAAAACCCGGGTTCGAATCCCCACATGGGTACAATGTGTGAAGCCCATTTCTGGTGTCCCCCGCCGTGATGTTGCTGGAATATTGCTAAAAGCGGCGTAAAACCAAACTCAGTCAGTCAGTCATAGACATGGCGGCAGGCTCAAACAAAATGAATTTAAATTCAAATATCCTGCGCAGATTTCGAAAAACGCTGAATGTGGTCATGGTACAAAGCAATTACTTCATCCAATCACTCGAGCTTGGTCGCAATACACCACGGCCTTGTCGCTGTTGATTGGTCGATGAATTTGCATCTCGGGATACTCCCTCCATATCGACCAATCACGAGCGACCAGGTGGTGTATTTGGATCAAGCTCTCGTATTAGAATGAAGTATAACTACTTCACAGATTAGATTCCATATTTCAAATTCACATTCAAGAAAGGTCAGCCTGCAAAAATTATACGAATTTTACTTGAAAATGCATAAAGCGTACAACATTCTTTAACCAGAAAATTTGAAAACGTTCCCAATGATTCACTGGCGTTCTAGCCAACTGTCTAAAATACAGAACACCAGTTGTCTCGAAGTAAATCCTGTCATATGCCGTGTCGAACGTAGGACAACTCGAAGTATTTAGGTTGGTCCCGTCAACTTCGACACAGCGGTGTGTGACTGTGATAGCTGTTTTGTAGCTGTTGCGTTGAAGAATAATCACCCGTAAAATCAGGTTTAGAAATGATCTTCAGCAATCCATGCTTGTCGTTAGAGGCGACTAACGGGATCGGGTGGTCAGGCTCGCTGACTTGGTTCACACATGTCATGGTATCCCAATTGCATAGACCGATGCTCATGCTGTCAATCACTGGATTGTCACTGGATTACAGAATATCGCCATATAGCTGGAATATTGCTCAGTGCGGCGTTAAACAACAATCAATCAAGTTGACACATCACCAACATGGCCTGTCTGGATGGCGCATGCCACGAGTTGCCAGACAACTTGGTGTTCATCACTCCACAACGGTACAGGCTTCGGGAACGTCATCTGCTGAGCAACAGGTGATCGTCTACGAAGCTGCCAACCGCTTGACGTCGGTATGTGGTGACGAATTATAGATAAGTGCAACGAACGACTTACATGACGCACGCAAGATCAGGCAGCGGTCATTCCCGTTACTGGATGTGATCCAAGTTAATGTGACCTTGAATCCAACATGCTGCGGATTTAATACTGAGTATGTTTAGTTTTACGACGCTTTTAACAACATTACAGCAATAATACGGCGGGGGGCACCAGAAATAAGCTTCACACATTGTATTAATGTGGGGAATCGAACCCGGGTCTTCAGCGTGACAAGCGAACGCTTTAACCACTAGGCTACCCCACCGCCCCGGATTTAATACTGAGCAAGAAGATACAAATTTATATGTTTCACTAATAAGATAATTCCGTGTAATAGTATGGTACACTAATCACTGTACATTTGAGATTATTTTGGAGTTGAGAGTATATAGGCTTTTTATCACGAACTAGAAAGGTGGTTAATGAGCATGGGGCCGAAGTGAGATAAATGCCCAGGTCATCTGCGGATAAATATTTTATAAAAATAGGTCAAGTAGGAACTACTTTCACAAACATAGCGTCACTCTTGTCTAGCAACTAGTGAGTCAAAAATGGCCTGGGGATCTGGACAGTATTACTTAAATAACAGACAACTGGTCACTTAAAAAAACATTCCCGGTCAAGAGAACTGATTATAAAGGACACATTGAACGACACCTTTGAACTGACATTCCAACATCAAAACCACCTCGCATATTCCCTGGGGTGGTTGGGTAGCCTTGTGGTTAAAATGTTCGCTCGTCGGCCGATTCGGCCCCGTTCGATTCCTCACATGGGTACAATGTGTGTGTGAAGCCCATTTCTGGTGTCTCCCGCCGTGATATTGCTGTAATGTTGCTAAAAGCGGCGTATAAACATACTCACTCACTCGCATATTTCCGTCTCGGGGGCAGACAAATTCAATGTTTTGTTTTCCAGAAAATGACAAATATTGAAGAAATCCTAGAGATAAATGAAACTAAAACATGGCCAAAATTGTAACACCATGAATGTTGTCAATGTATTTTCTATCAAACAAGAATTTTTATCTTGCCTCACACATAAATGTTGTTTTCTGATTGGCTGAGCTCTCTTCTATTATTTTCAATGTACCCCGCTTACAAGTGAGTAACATTTTCTATGTACCCCGCTGGGAATGCCGAACTCATTTGGTACTTCGTAGTAGTAAGTCTTTATCTCGAATAACATTGAATCACGTAAGATCTACGGAAATTGCCGATGTTTTGCGAATGAAAATCGATAGAAGGGAGATAACTCTAAATTTGTTTTTCTTGTCGTCTTGTACTCCATACTATAATCCGCTACCCGCTCTTCAAACAGTTCAAAATTACCACTGAGGTGTTCGGTAAGATAAATACGTTGTTCACTGGTCCCTCGGGGCCCATGGGTTGATGTGTCTGGTGAACATCACAGCCCATGTCCCCCTCGAGACCAGTGAACAACTAATAATATATGTCCTTAGTACTTATAATAACCGGATATTAATGAATATATTACAGGAAATAAAACAAATTACCACAAAGTTGAATTCGCTGTACCTGTTTCATATTGGTTTTTTTCGTTTACTTATTGTTTATTATTTGGATCTTGCAGTTAAAAAACATAATTTGTAATTGTTTGTTTGTTGCTTAGCTCCACATTCAGCAATATTCCTGGTATATGACGGCGGTCTGTAATCAATTGAGTCTAGACCAGACAATCCAATGATTGGCATCATGCGCATGGGTCTATGTAATTGGGAAACGATGACATGTGTCAACCAAGTCAGCGAGCCTGACCACCCGATCCCGTTAGTCGGCTCTTACGACAAGGAAGAGTTGCAGAAGACCAATTCCAGCCAAGATCTTCACGGATTGTGGTCTATTTTAAGTGAGGGGGTTTTACGCCGCTTTTAGGAATATTCCAGCAATATCACGGCGGTGGACACCAGAAATGGGTTTCATATAGTGTACCCATGTTGGGAATCGAACCGGGTCTTCGACGTGACGAGCGAACGCTTTAACCACTAGGCTACACCACCGCCCTGTGGTATATTAAACAAGGCTGAGATTCATAAACTTAAAAAAAGTTTATGATCACAGTGCGAAGTTATTGTAACTAATTTATGACTCCAAATCGTAAGAGATATCTGTGAAGGATAACATCGACATAGAACAGTGTTGCTGGTTTAAAAGGGCCCAACAACATTTTTAACCCCTGAAACTCAATTTAGGGTCACGTGTCAAGGGGAGACAACTTAAACTAATTAAGCATTGATTATTGACGCCAAACGCCGATATACTGAAGTTTTACTCCAAAAAAGGGATCAGAAGACAATGTTTACTATTTTAATGCGACCAGCTTATATCACCACGATGCCCGTAAGGCAAACATTTTGTAGTTCTTGTACGTCTTCCTCATCAATGCCGTCATCGTATTCCAACATAGAAGATATTATTTTAGAAAATTTCAAACAAATGTTTCCGTTGCAATTACTCATGACTGAATGAGAATCTTAATTGTGTTATCGGAATGTTATGTTCTGAGCAATATGCCCAGCCCAACTATTCCCAGGATCATCTGTTTATTCGTCATCTACACCAAGAAATGATTTTAAGGGATCTGTATCACGCTTCAAAGAAACTCATCTGTCAGAATACGAAACTGGGAGTAATTAGAACTGACAGTTTCCATTGTTGGTTCGTAAACATAAAAATACTGATCGCATCATGTTTCTGTTCACCAAGCAAACACGGTCTGTTTTTGGTGAATCATGTAAAAGGCCTCTAAAAGATCAATCATACACATTGCGGTCGAGTGGATGAAAGGAAAATACTCAATTAAAAAAGAAATGATGCAGCAGAATATGTGTAAAACAATCCACAGAACTTTCATTGCTTTGACATTAACTATGTGAGTGAATGAGTTTAGTTTTACGCCGCACTCAGCAATATTCCAGCTATATGACGGCGGTCTGTAAATAACCGAGTCTAGACCAGACCATCCAGTGATCAACAACATGAGCATCGATCTACTCAATTGGGATACGATGACATGTGTCAACCAAGTCAGCAAGCCTGACCACCCGATCCGATGGGTTACTGAAGATCAATTCTAACCGGATCTTCACAGGTACTATGTAACTGCTCTTTTCGGGTACATGTAGTAAGTTCGGGTACATGTAATAAAAATAAGTCTCATCAATTGTGGAGACCGGGCTGGAATAGTTCCCCGGTTCCCAGTTGTGTGGAATGTTGCTCATGGTATCAACCACCGGTTTGACTGGTCCAGACGAACAAGTCAGCGATAGCCCTGCTGGACAATGGGCGAACCAGTGATTGAAGATGTGAATGACCTCCATTGTATCCATGTAGGAAATCAAACCCGGGTCTTCGGCGTGACGAGCGAACGTCTTAGCCACTAGGCTACCCCACCGCCCCCTTTTCTCCTAGAGATGTAGGCCTCCATACATCGTTTCAGTGTAACTTTTTCTTTATATCTCGAGTACATATGAAATATAGTTAACTAAACTAAATATATGCTAAAGTTAACATATGTTAGCTATCTGAAAATATACAACTTGGATGAAACAATCCATTACATCTGCATTGAAAAGGAGCCCTATGGGAGATGAGAACTTGGACTGAGAAAAATCTAGACTTACTTCATTTTGGGCTAAGACCTAAGACATAAGATTGCATACACTACATTCCTTCGTCATCAGTAGCATGTCGTACGACAGTAACAAATGGCTATTTCAGTCGGTTAATTCAATTAATCCGTGCACAACTCCCGGGTTCAAATGTTATAGATTCACGAACGTTATACGAATCCTACCGTTGACTGACATTGAAGGCAAACTCTTAGACTCAGAAAATATATAATTTAAACAATAAGCGCACTTAAATATAAGATTTAAGCTTTATAGTCAGATGTGGGATTTAGAACCTGAGGATAAGCTAGACTTGCTACATTTAAGGCTTGTGTCCAACAGAAAGGGCTGGGCGGTAAGGAAAATATTATTGTTCCCGGACTGTGAGACAAGGTTAACTAATACTGTGGCGGAGGAGAAGGAATAATGTGGCTCTTTTAGTTAATTTCTGGGCGGGGTGTGTAAAAGAAGTCGGGGGTAATAACGCGAACTAATAATTATTCATCAAATTTATCTAATAAACTATTCTGACGTGACGCTATTGTTGTAGATTACTCTGAACGTGGTTATCAGTGGCTATACCCTAATTCAACGTGACATCGTGCATTGTCCGTCCCCTTGTCCACGGGTCCCGGGGCGGTTGGGTAGCCTAGTGGTGACAGCGTTCGTTAGCCTCTCCGGAGACCCGGGTTCGATTCCCCACATGGGTACAATGTGTGAAGCCCATTTCTGGTGTTCCCCGCCGTGATATTGCTGGAATATTGCTAAAAGCGGCGTAAAACTAAACTCACTCACTCACTCCACAGGTCACGCCGGCGTGTTGCCGTCGGTCACCGCGGCCCCAATGCAAGGAGAGCCTCTGGGGCTTCCTTTAGTTTGTCTCACAGTCCCTGAACCACATTATTTTCCCTACTACCAAGCAATCCCTGCAATGCTAAAGCCCTAAATGAAGCAAGTCTAGATTTCCCCTCTCACTTGGGCTCCTTTTCAATTTAAATGGGTTCACTTGTTACTTTCAATATTAATATTTATCATATATATTCAGAGAGTAGCGTTAGTCTAGGGATTCCTTGACCATCAAACTGGAACACGAACGAACTTTTCCGAAGACAGGCGTGACTTTAAATAAGTACTCATGGGAAAAATGGTGTCGAATAGCGACTGAAGTAATGTGAAAGTGGAATGCATAAGAAAAGCAAGATTTATGGATGTCAACAATAACACTGAAGGAGCAAGCATACACTCCGAAACGTCGTGTTATTCACAATAAAGAAGTTGACATACATAAACCTTGCTTTTCTCATGGGTCTTTTATTTTCATTGGCGGTGCAGCCATGATTACAAACTCTACATTAATGTACTTTCATTTTTGTTGAGATAGATATACATCTTGGTAAACGTCCTTTTGCACGAGATGCAGGTGGTGTCCATGCCTCGTAATTATCACGTCAGATAAAAGTTTGAAATTTGAAAAAAACACCTTTTATTCTGAACCAATCCACTCAAATCATCCATATTTACCCATTTTGCCAACTGGTTTAGGCTCTTGCTCGTAACCTCAAAAACCTGATCACCCAAAGTGTGACGCCTTTTTCTGGTGCTCTCTTTGTAATGTGGGATGAGTAACGCTAAGGGACCGTTCATAATTTTTTTCTTTTGTCTGTGTGTGTGTGTGTGTGTGTGTGCGTGTGTGTGCGTGTGTGTGTGTGTGTGTGTGTGTGTGTGTGTGGAGATTGTGATGATTTATAAGGAGATGCATGCACAATCATAGGCAGATCTAGGGATTTTCAATGTGTGTGTGTGTGTGTGTGTGTGTGTGTGTGTGTGTGTGTGTGTGTGTGTGTGTGTGTGTGTGTGTGTGTGTGTGTGTGTGTGTGTTTCCCCGCCCCTCCACCCCCTTCTGGATCCGCCAGTAACAATGTGGTCCCTTAACGCGGTGTAAACCACACTCACTCAGCGGTCATAGCGACTGAGCGCATTATTCATATGAAACACAAAATACCCTATGTACCCTTTGGGAAAACAAATGTAACTGTCATAAAAGTGTAGTGTTGATCTAGACTTTTATGACATTCTCTAAAACAAAAATAAAACATTTTCCAATTACAGCTTCCAGGAGGTCTGGCAATGCGAGTATTGACTGATTTTATTCTGGTATCCCTCTGGAATAACAAGTATTGACTGAAACTCATGACATTATAAGACCAGGTCAATCTGACCTAACGTTTCTGAAAGTTTCAGTATAATGTCAAGACGTATACTGTCGGGATATTTTGACAAGGAATACATATTCTTATGTTGCCAGCGCGCAGGGTGTGTGATTTTTCTATGCATAATGATATTGTTCATTAGGCGGAAATACCGTTTACTTACAATTCAATTTTCAAGCCAAAGTTCCATCGCCAGTCTCTCCTGGAATTGGAGTGAGTGAGTGAGTGTGATGCCATTTTGGACAATAGTCCAGTTATACCACGACGTGTCGGAAAGTTCAAAACGATCAAGATTTCAGACGTCTGGCAGTTTGAAGAAGCCAGAGCACGGTACGGTACCGACAAACTTGGAAACATAATAGCACGAACTCTGATTCAAACCCATGAGCTCAGATTTTGGCAGCTTGCGGCGCCATAGTGACCGTACCCCTTCTGCTGTCGGACGAATGAACACAAGTTCCCAAGTTATTCCTAACATGTCCCCGGGGGGCAGAGAGGCCATCAATCGGTTCTGTCGTACATCCGTTGTTCATGTTGTGTTTGTATCGATTAACGCTAAGTGCGGGAGACTCAGGTGGGTTGTAGTGAAAACGAGGCCCATTAAGGATCCAATCTGAGGTTTTACTGTCTGTGTGGCTCTACATTCCATGTGCTATCTGCTCTTCATACCGTCATAAACACCGACTGAAGTGACAGAGAAGTACAGAAGTCACAGAGCCTGATCGCCCGATCCAGTTAGTCGCCTCCTTTTCGACAAGAATATGTCGCCCGTTTTGAAACGAAATATACATTAAGTTTGTTACAGGAGCTGTTGGGGCGGTGGGGTAGCCTAGTGGTTAAAGCGTTCGCTCGTCACGCCGAGGGCCCGGGTTCGATTCCCCTCATAGGCACAGTGTGTGAAGCCTACTTCTGGTGTCCACCGTCGTGAAATTGCTGAAATATTGCTAAAAGCGGCGTAAAATTAAATTCATTAATTCATCAAATTGACCAAGATATTATAGGCTTTACCTTTGAACTTTAGTACGTCCTTTAGAATAATCTGTTAAGACATGTTTACAACTAGAACTAGTAATTGAAGTAATGAGGTAAACAGTGCTAATCCCCACAATATACTAGATCATCTACACTTGCAGTTAAAAACACAAACCCACTCACTCAATACTGGGGAATAAAATTAGAAAGGTCTGTCGGGGGATGAGAAACACAGAAAATAAAAATGCTGCCCATATAGCCTAGTACTAATGAATAAGGAGCTCTGATGTATAAGATAATGGAACAAGGCGCATGGTCAAGATTCGTCCTGGGCAGTGGCTACAGCCCTGGGACACATATTCTACAGATACAACAGTATATATTAAACTCTGTTTACAATTTCGAAGCTGTTGTCATTACTCAGTCTCCTACCCAGAGTTCCATGCGGTCAACATATTTCTGCCACAGCGAGTGAGTTTAAATTTACGCCGATTAGCAATATTCCAGCAATTTTACGGCTGAGGACACCAGAAATGGGCTTCACATACATTGTACCCATGTAGAGAGTCGAACCCAGGTCTTTGATGAGCTAACGCTTTAACCACTGGGCTACTCCATCGTTACCCTACAGAGAGCTAGCGTCATGCACATCACAGTCCCAGTTATATATAGTATCATATCTATATGATTAAGCCAAACAGTATGTAAAACATAACCAAAGACGTGCATTAAGCCAGATTGTTTGATTTTTTATTACAGAACAAGAAAAGCATTTTAAAAGGCAACGTTGGAGGCACCTGAATAAATTAGGAAATTTAATGAGAAGGACGTGAGATGGTTTAGGGAGTGAAGATGATTTCAAGAGCATAACGATGACTATACTTAAGTATATTAGAGACTTGCTTCTATTTAGAGATCGATGCTCGCATCGCAAATACGGTACTCTCATCTCCAGTATACGGCATTTCATGTCAAAAGTCTTTGTCATGAAATAGTACAAGTGTGCTCTATTCCGTATGAAATTGTTTTGAATTGAAAGTGTATCAGTTTATTAACGTTTTTGATAGTAAAACACAGAATGAGTTTATATTAGAGAGTTATAGGAAATCCGATTTCCGCATTAACATGAAGTAAAGCGGGACAATTATTTCGTATTACCCATGATCACGTGGCTCCTTATTTGCTACAGCTATGTTCATTGGTCATTTGAAATTACCAAAATACAAAGAGAATAAGAATCATTGGATGAAAGTTCATTTGGAATAATCCAAGCGTATGTTGTAGAGAGAAATTTCACTTGAGAGACAAATTCATCCTGTTTAAAAGGTTGGAGGCCTTTGCACCTCCAACCAATAAGCGCGTTTGTTTATAAACAATAGGAAGCCATGTGGCAGTGATGTTTGGCCATTACTCTGTGGAAGTGCTTGACTCGGAAGGACAGTTGGAGAATATAGTGCCCTATTTACACGCGCTTTATAGATTGTGTCAGACGTTTGCCTTGATTGTTAACATGAAATATTAGCCATCAAATGTTGCTGGGATCGCTTCATCTGTTATCTCTACATGGTACTGAGACCAGCTGCCAATTATCTAAACACAAGTTCAAGGCCGATGTGAGTGTTTGGGCTCGAAACTTCCGGTGACCATTGTTGCTAATCCTTCCTGGAGTGCTAAAACCTTAAATGAAGCAAGTCTAGATTATCTCAGGGGATGAATCTTCCATCCCATTGGTGTGCATTTTCAATATAAAGAAAGAATTATTTCATTCTGTAAACATTGTGTGTAGTTAAGGACTAAAGGGGCAGTGGTCCAGAGCTATTCAACCGGTACTGGGCAGCTGTCTGCCTTGGCAGAAAAGCAACAACCAGTTCCGGGGAATTGCTCTAGATCAGTGTCCCTTAAAGAGGCTAAGCGTTAGTCTACATTGCTCACAGCGGTCACTGCGGTGGATCAAGGCTGGTATCTGAATCGGTGACAGATGGTTTGTCGAGTCTTTGTACATAGAAACCGAGGAATTTTATTGGGACATGACGCCAGTTTCAAATTAAGGACGGTAACTCTAATTGGACTTCACTGTTCTTTCAGAACATGATAGGGCCCGTAAGTAGGTCACGGCACTTCGCGAGACCTTTGTACTTCCGGTGACAAGCAACGTTTTATACCTTGTCAAATGGACGCTTGGTTGTCAGTTGACAGTAAGGAACCGATAATCCTTGCAGGAATAACAAATGTCCGATCTAACCATCCCGTAATTAGCCAACTATTACGACTGTCAACAGCTGTGACAGTCAAGCATGGTTGTAGACTTGGTCCGGTCTCGTCATATTTGGCCGTCGCGCAAAATGGAACCAGAACTGGTTCTTGAATGTACGTTTGTCACCGGAAATCCGGTGGGCCCCGTCTCGCATATCGCAGGTTGGCGCGCGTAAAGGGAGATGGGAACCAGCTTAGTGCTAGATGTAGCGCAGCGCGAGACTTGGTGTCACGATAGTTTTCTGCAAAACTTTTCACTTTGAGATTCTTTCTTCACTATTCAGCTACAGCTTCATAAAACACACGACCAAAACATTTAACAACACGCAAATTGACGAATAAACATTGAAGTGAATTTCTGCTTTGTTTTTTATGTACTGTTCACTACTGGGAAAACTATTCAACTATTAAGGTTAAATAGAACGTTAACACAACGTAAAATACGTTAGCATCAAATAACGTTAACCTTGTGGCGACGTACAAATGACGTATCACAACGTCAGGCTACAACGTTGTGACAAATTGTTTGCTGGGTATTAACCTTTTAATAATCAATTTAGGCATATTAACCCTTTAATAATTAATATAATAATAAGGCCACTTACATAGCGCTGAACTCCACGCCGCAGGGGCATCCTCTTAACGCATACAACACGATGGACATTTTTACCCCGGATAACCCAAGCTGCCTGTGAGGTTAATATATAGTCACATGACTTATCCCACCGGGTACCCATTTTCCGCTGGGTGAACAGAGACAATTTTGAACAAACTCAAATGCCTAAGGTGAGATTACATGGGTGGTTTGTTGTGGTAACTGGATGCGAACACCCGTGTTCATTCAATAGAACACGTGTTTCAAACGTTCAGGGCCCCCCAACACCCGTGGCGATACGGGTTCTAATTGGTCTACAGCAACCCATGCTTATCGTAACAGGCGACTATAACGGGATCGGGTGGTCAGGCTCGCTGACTTGGTAAAACATGCCATCGTATCCCAGTTGTTTAGATCGATGCTTATGAATTTAATCATTTGATAATCTGGTCCAGACTCGTTCATACCTCTGGAACATTGCTGAGTGCGGTGTTAAACAACTTACCAACCAAACCAAACCGAATGCGGGATCAAATTAACCACAAGGCCACGCGCTGACACGTGATCTGATTGATTTACGTCGCAAATATGACCAATTATCGTTTCCTTATTTTGAACACGTAAAACAAAATACTAAGGACACATGCACTCTCCTTTCTTTTCAAAGCGAGTGTATTCTAAACATAGAACATTTAATTGGTTTGTCATTTTCTTTATTGCTGCCTACCGAGCCAATCGTTCCCCTCCCAATTTCCCATGTATCATAAACCATCCGTAAAGTCGAGTTGTATAATTATTTCCATCAGGAAATAGTGACAGAATGCTGTTTGCGATTGTTAATATATTTATGAGCAATAATAGACGGTTGTTGTTTAGATGCATGTTTTTTGCTGTATTCTGGAATGTAGGTAAATATGTACTAGCTGTGACCAACATATCGATACACAGAGACCGCAACAGTGGT